CGGGCAAACTCCCAACCCTGAATGTCCATGTCTGACGTCAAAGCTTCCTTCCAATCTCTTCTCGGCTCTACTGACTGGAACGCGCTTCTTGCCCCTGCGCTGGCTCCGCCCCTGCGCTGGCTCCGCCCCTGCGCTGGCTCCGCCCCTGCGCTGGCTCCGCCCCTGCGCTGGCTCCGCCCCTGCGCTGGCTCCGCCCCTGCGCTGGCTCCGCCCCTGCGCTGGCTCCGCCCCTGCGCTGGCTCCGCCCCTGCGCTGGTTCCGCCCCTGCGCTGGCTCCGCCCCTGCGCTGGCTCCGCCCCTGCGCTGGTTCCGTGCCCTGTCAGCAGCTCTCTGGCTTTGGCATTTTCAACATCTTGGGGTCTCCAAGGCAACCCAGGCTTCACAGCTTCACAGCTCCACGCAATGGCTTCTCTGGGCCCCTATCCAGTGGAACCCCTGACACATGCCTGGCCTCCGGTTTTTCTTAGTCACTGGGGTAAATTCCATAGCCCCTTTATCCTTATCTTCAGAACCATGTGGTCAAAGCTGCCAAGTTCTGCTGATTTCTGGGGCTGCAACATGGCCCCCTTGTTCAATTACAAATTCAGCAACTTCCTGTTTTTGATGGTTTCCTTCACTGCCTAGCTTGGCTCTTCTGAAACTTGATCTCTAGATCAGGTTAGCCTTGAACTCAGAGATCTTTCCATTATATCTTCAACTTCCTGATTTTGAGGATTGCCTTCACTGCCTAAGCTGTTGTGGAACTTCCTCTGTAGAACAGGCTGGCCTCATATTCTGAGATCTGCCAGCCTCTGCCTTCCCAATGCAGAAGACTTTTGTTTGTCCTGGGAATAAAGGTGTGCACCACCACACCAAGCTCTAAGCCTCTCTTTAATTTCTTTTCTCAAGTTGGAAATTTAGCTGGGTAGGATCTTGCCCTGGGGTCACCATTCCTTAATCTGTTTATCTCCTTGAACAAAGAATTCAGCTCTGCCCCCTTCCTGGGGCTCTTTTTCTCCTCAGATTTCACATTTCATAGTATTTTACCTTTCTCACCTTGCACGCTCCTTTTCATTATAAATCTTCATTATAGAGTTTCCACATGACAGGCTGCCAACAGAATTCATCCAAATCTCTTCTCTTTAGCCTCAGGCAGACTCCTCTTCCAACAAGGGCAAGAGACAGCCACCTTCTTCACCAAAATATCACAAGAACAATCTCTAGGCATCATACAAGGCTTCTCCTCCGAATCCTCTTGAGCCAGCCTCCCGCAGTTGAAGTCAATCTAAGATAATGTGGTTTCCGGTGCCCCTTTACAAGACTGCAAGAATTCTGATTCTGCTAATAAGTTCAAGATTGGTTATAGAATAGTTTTCATGCCTTTTCTTCTGTCCCCTGCCTCTGACAAACTCCTCGTCAGTCCACCTGGAAGTATTTTAGTCTGTGAACTGTTGTTTTGAACTGCTTGCTTCTAGTGTGCTTCAGGCCTCGCTGGAGAAGTGGGAGCTAGAGACAGTGAGTAAAAGTGGGCAGGGTGCACTGTTTCTGCCCTCTCTGCCATACGTACAGTAGTAGCTGATATGATTGCCGTTATCCTGCTGGATTTCAGTCTATTTTCCCGTAACAGTACAAGGGTAACTTTGCCCAAGCGTTTTTCTAGCTCTGCGGCCTTCTTTGCTAACGCCACAAAACAAGCCTCACATTAATAAAGTTAAGAGCTGGCTTCTCAGCTCACGCCTTCTGAAATGGCGTTCTTTACTATGGCCCAGGGATGAGCAGCTCCACTCCCTGAAGGTGTAACGAGTATGGTTTTTCCGCCTGCCTGCCGCTTGGTCTTGTCCTGCTGCTGCGCCAGCCCCAAATGATACACAGAGACTCTGTATTTGGTACAATACTGTTGGCCCGGTTACTTGTTTCTTATCGGCTAGCTCTGCCTTAATTATTAACCCATTTCTGCTGATCTATGTATTTTCACATGGCCTTCTCTTACCGGGGAGGCGGCTGGCGTCCAGCTCTCTCCAGACTCTCCATCTTGACTCCTCCTCCCTACTTCCTATTTCCTCCTTGTCTCCTAGTCCCTCCTATCTTCCTTTCCTATTGGCCAACAGTGCTTTATTATTAACCAGTATGAGAAACATATACAGAATGACATCTCCCATCATGAAGGTGTGTGAGAAAGGCAGCATTCCAGGTATTACTGCAGTTCTACTGCATCTGGGTCTATCTGAACAGGGATTCGGGGGTGGGGGGGTTGTTTTCAAATTTGAGAAGCCCAGCAGCAGTCTAACCCAGCCTCCTGGGATTCCCCACGTTAAACGACACAGATTGGATGAGCCATTCATCCTCAGGATGCCTCAGGTTAACATTGACCATTCTTAGGATTGTTTGGGGAAAGGATGCTTCCAGTATGCATCTGACTCCTCTTTCCATGAGTCTCTTATCACAGTCTACTTTATGTTTGTATGCTCTGGTCCTCTCTGGTGTTTACCTTCTGCTGGAGCGTTTCCTTAGAATTTAATCTAACACCTTTTCCATTCCCCTCCTGAACCACCACGCCCACATTACATCTCAGCTTTTGGGAAACGTCTGAGTTTTTGAGCATGCTTACACTGTTTGCTGCCGCCGCCTCCTCCCCCTCCCCCTTCCCTCCCCACTCCTGTACCCCTCCCCCTCCCACATCTCTTCCTTCTCTCCCCACCCCCCTTCCTTCTTCAGTCTTCTTCTAAGTAAGTGCATGGGTGTTTTGTCTTCATGTATGTCTGTGCAACTTGTGCCTGACTGGTGACTGCGGAGCCAGACAAGGGTGTGGGATCCTCTGGAACTGGAAGTGCAGGTGGTCGTGAGCTGCTGTGTAGATACTGAGAATCCAACCAGGTTCCTCTTCCTCTGGAACAGCAGCCAGTACTCTGAACCGCTGAGCCATCCCTCCAGCCCCTCTTTACTTATGGTAGAAATACTGTAATTGATTTTCATAGGACCCAACATGATTAACTATTGCAAACACATTTCATGTCATGCAGTTTTTACAGATTCAGATTTTGTATTATCTAATACTTTAGTTTTAATTTGCTATTTTATATTTTTATTCTGCTTTGGTGCTTAAAGAGTGAATAGGAAAGTGTGCAAGAACCTCATACACATATGCGTGTGTATATATGTGGCTCTTAATGTTACTATCATTTGCAACTGTGTATCAGTTAATAATGTGTCCCTATAAAACTAAACTGTCCCGGAACTTTGTTTTAGCCAGTGGACATTTTCTGACTTGTGGCTACACCTACCCTGTCCCTAACTTACCGTAGACAGTAGTCCCCCTCAGTCCCTCCTGTAATGACAGAGCCCCAAGTTCAAATGCCGAAGAATAGGTCCATGTAACTCAGGTCTAGAACGCAGAGGAAAGACTGAAACATTCCTAAGCCTGGGCTCTGCTCTTCTGGGACTGACGCTACAGCCTGCCTTCCCTGCAGTGTAGAACAACGGGCCTTGCTGGGCCTTGCTGTGTCTCTGTCTTCAGAACAGAGCTTGGCCAGTTCCTGGTTATTGTATAGACTAATTTCCTTTGAGAAATTGTGTGGCTGCCAGCACTCAAATTCTTTAAGTTAACCAGTTGTTTATTTTTTTTTCTCCTTTTTGTAAATTTTCTCTCAATTCTTCAAAAAATAATTAATGAGCACTTACAGAATTTTTCATTTTAACTTTTTCTGTACTTCCAATTCCAGTGAATGAGAAGTATTTAGGGGCTGCGGAGTTGCCTCGGCAGTTAAGAGTGTATATTGCTCTTGCCCAGGCCGTGAGTTCAGTTCCCAGCATCCGCCTCGGGCAGCTCACCAGTCCATAACACCAGCTCCGAGAGACCCAGCCCCCTCAGGCGTGTGTACTGTGGACACTGCTGTCTCCTCACGATGCACAAACCCACACGGTGATACATGCACATGCATACGTAGTCTTTTAAATTAAAAGAAAATTTCAGATATTTGTATATGTTAAATGTTTTGCTATGAACAAGCTTATATGTTCACTCTTTAAAACCTGCTTATCATTATCACTAATCATTTTGGTAGTCACATTTTAATTTGTCGAAGCATAGATGGAAATGTCTTTTCATGATTACTTTTTGAATAATGCTATCAGAGAAAACATTTAATATATGGAGTGAGCAGGTGGTGGTAGGAGGGTCAAGAATTCAAAGTCACCCTTGGATATGTAATGAGCCTCAGGCTCGCCAGGGTTTCATGAGACCCAGTTTTTAATTTACACGCGGACACACGCGCTCACACACAGTGAATTCCTTACATAGGAAGGAACGGAGCAACGGCTCTTCAGGGCCTAAAGAATCTGGGTTCTGAAGTCTGCAAAAGAGCGCAGCAGCCACAGTAGCGGCGGTACGGGCTGCTGTAGTGGCGGCGGTCCGGGCTGCTGTAGTGGCGGTACGGGCTGCTGTAGTGGCGGCGGTACGGGCTGCTGTAGTGGCGGCGGTACGGGCTGCTGTAGTGGCGGCGGTACGGGCTGCTGTAGTGGCGGCGGTACGGGCTGCTGTAGTGGCGGCGGTACGGGCTGCTGTAGTGGCGGCGGTACGGGCTGCTGTAGTGGCGGCGGTCCGGGCTGCTGTAGTGGCGGCGGTACGGGCTGCTGTAGCGGCGGCGGTACGGGCTGCTGTAGTGGCGGCGGTAGAGCTCCCGGTACATGAACTCACAGGTGAGGCTCAAAGGCAAATACAGCCTTCTCCACCCATCTAGTGTAGGCCTTCCCGCTGCTGATGAGCTGAGCAAGAAATCCCTCACAGCTGTGCCCAGTGATTCCAATTTAATCAGTTGGCAGCCCCTTATGGAGGGGAAATACCCCGAGCCCTCCTAACCCCAGTGTTAATGCACTTCACTGTACATGGGTATGGTAAATTAGTACATGCAGATTACACTGACTGCCCTTACTTCACAATGCTGGGGACTGGGGGGGGGGGGTTGCTGTTGGCATATCGTTTCCCTTAAATCACAGGAAGGTAATGAGTATGTCCTCCTTTTTAGGTACGCTTTGTAAAGAATATAACCACCTGGAACGAGATGAAACCAGGGTTTTATCATGGACACATTTCTTATCTGGATTTTGCAAAGTAAGTAGTATCCAAAATGGTGTTCTAAAGAATGTTTTGTATGTCATCATCAGCATAAAATAGAATAACTTCATTAAAGTGTTAGGATTTTGGTTTTAAAAATATATATACTGACACACCTCTTCTAGACCTGTGATTTAAATACTCCTTCCAGTGCTTTACTGCCCTCTAGTGTTCATATGTTGACACTTCTCAAGCTAATTCAGGTATTCATGTTCTGTTAAGTTAGGGACTATGGAAGCCCACTGATTACTCCTGGAGCGCCCAGATTTTAACCTAGTCAGTTACCATCACTGACTGAGAAAACAAAGTGCTTTTCCTTGAACTGCTGTGTGTCTGCTTTGAAATTATGAGGTCCGGGGGAGACTTTTTTAAAACTAAAAATTGTCTTTTATGTTGGAATGCAGTTATGTAAGTCAGGGTAATTTCTTTAAGAGAATTAAGACGAAAAGTTCAAAGGACCGTAGACTACAAATGGTGTTCAGCATTCTTTGCCCGTCAAGGGCCCTTGCATGGTGAAGGACTAATCAGAAAATTGGTTAAAAGGAATTGTCCAAGTGTAGCATCGTGTGAATGTTCTCAGTAGGACACATGGCACCATTATGGTAAACCCTCACATCCAAACAGAAAATGTACTGCTAATTTTGGGCGTGTTCAGGTCACTTTTTAAATTAGCAGTGCGTCTTGTAAGAATATGTATATCAACTATCAACTTCCAAAGCTTTTTGTGTACATTTTAAGGTGAAAGGAGCATCTCACTTCCGTCTGAAAGGAAAGTCTGAAAGGAAAAAGCGGAAAGGAATGTCACTGGGTCAGATAACAGGAAATCTTAACCTCTCTGGAAATCATATAATTAAAGATTTGCCCACATATTACATACATAAAGTGATATATCCCTGATTCCCCCCATAATTCCTAGGCTCTTTCAATAAAATTGCAACTTTCAAGTTAAATGTACACTTTTCTATAAATAATTCATGTTTCAATATTGAAAGCATTTTATAGTCGGCTTTAAAATAAACTAGAATTTGTCTCTGCAGAGGCACTGAGCCAGTTTCATAAACTTTATTCATATGCATATTTTCCCTGAGGGCTGCATTTTCCTTCAATGAGTGTTTGTTACCCTTTCACCTAAATGATTTGATTTTTTTTTTTCTCTACATGGCCTGGTTTCTAATACTGTAGGTTCTCATTACTAAAATTACATATTGAGTGTTTTTGCTTTGGGCACAGTCTTGCACGCAGAACAAAACTGTGGTATTTCTGAGGTACTTGGACTTGAAACGTATAAGGCATTTTAAAGAATAGTCTTATTAAATATTGACAACACTGGCTTTGAATATTTCCAAATTGGCCCATTGTTGGAAATAAGTAATATATTGTGAAAATTTTAATAAACTAGCAAAATTTTAAACAAATAGCTAAACAGAATCAATTAGAGGAAACATGTATTTTAATGTATATAGTCAAGAAACACTGTAGCTTGATAGTCACAGATTCCATGACTAAGGGAAGAAACAACATCATTTACCTATTTTAATGTTCTTTATTTTTTAAAACATTGAGCTGAGAATGCTGGCTTTTACCTGTATTTTAGTTGCCTAGGAGGCTGATACAGGAGAGTACATGTTTGAAGCCAGCCCAGAAAACTTAGTGAGTTCCCTCCCACACTTTAAAATGGGGGTCTCGGAAGATTGCTCCATAGGTAAAGTAGGTACATCACAGTTGTGAGGACCCAACTTTGAATTCCTAGCACTAAGAAACCAGGCTTGTAGCCCGAGTGTCTTTAACCCCAGTGCTCATATGGGGAGTGGGGATGGGGGAGTGGGGTGAGCACAGACAGCAGAGTCCAGCTCCACAGCCTGCTGGCAGCAGCAGGGAAGCCTTGGCTCGGGAAATGGAGAGGGAAGATTGACACCCCGCATTGCCCTCTGACTTCATACATTATGACAGGAGTACCCTGTGCTCACACACCACACATTTTACAGAACAAACAAATAATTTTTAATGTTAAAAAGTAAATTTCTTGACACTTGGTTCTATAGTAGAATGGTATGTAGTTATGGTGGGAGCTCTGGGTTCCTTCAGTCCCTGTTAACTAACAGACACAGACACACACAGACACACACACAGACACACACACACACACACACACACACACACACACACACACACGGTGGACAGATGGTTTAAGTTAGTGGCTCTCAACCTTCCTAATACTGCAACCTTTAATACAGTGTGTCATGTTGTGGTTACACCTAACAATAAAATTATTTTCATTGCAACTTCATAACTGTAATCTGGCTGCTGTTATGAATGTAATATAAATATCTGTGTTTTCCGATGGTCCTTAGGCAACCCCTGTGATAGGCTCATTTAAACCCCATCCCAGCTGATTTAAACTGTTCAGAGCACTGGCTGCTCTTCAGAGGCCATGGTTTGACTCCCAGCATCCACATAGTGGCTCACAACCATCTGTAACTTCAGGTTCAAGGGATCTGATGCACAGACGTGGTACACAGACATTCATACAGGCAAACCACTGCACGTGTAAAATAAGGTCTCGACATAGGACAAGAAGCAATGAATGGGCCTTTGCTCGGTAGAATTCCTTAAGTTACTTGCAGTTAGACAAATAATGGTAAATTCATGGGGGAAATGTGTTTAATTTTTCAGTTTATTTAACAGATAATAAAAGATTGAAACATAGTTGAGTTTTCTGGAAACCAAGGGGGACAATGTGGAGAAATAAGTAAAAGACCCTTTCTAGTTCCAACTGGCTTGTGCGTGTCCTATTTTAAAACATCTCAAGCCGAGCCTGGCTTTGCAGTTTTTCTGGAGTTTTAGGATAGGAAAAAAAAAAATGTCTTTTTATATAGAAGTTTTGATTTCTTGTTCTATTTTGCATCCTTTGTTTTAACCTCTTTTGGCTTTTTAAAATCATTTTACCTACTTCTACTTTTCCTAAAAGTGCTTAGTTGTTGTTTGTTTTCTTAATGAATAGTTTTCAAACTGTTTAGATATAAGAAATTAATGATGCTGTTGACTTTACTATCTCCTATTTTAAATTTGTATAGGGTAGACATTTTCAAGATGCAGGGTAAATATCAAATTGAGTAAGTTGTAGTTCTTGACTGATGAGTTAATTGAAACCCCCTTTTTTCCTAGAGTGGAGTTTATGCTTCCTGAAAATTGAAATACTCATAATCATCCTTCTTAAATTTACGTTGTTTATTTGTTGGTAGCATTTATTGAATAGGAGTCACCCTAACAGATGAATCTTCTTAATGCCACAGTGTCATTGGTGAGACCAGGTCATTCACTTTTTTGAAACCAAGCAAAGGCAATCTGCTACTGGTATGAACCATTTATTGCTAAGAGTCCCCCACAAATATGTGATTATCCCTAGCCATGTTAAGCAGACTTAATGGCTGGCATTTTCTTTGGGCCGCCAACCAGCTCCCAAATAAAAACAGACTTAATATTAGTTATGAGTGCTCAGCCTTAGCTTAGGCTTGTCCCACTAACCCTTTTAACTCAATTTAACCTGTTTCTTTTCATCTATCCACATTTTTCCTTGGGGCTTCTTACCTTTATTTCATCCTCCATGCCCTACTTTCCTGCTTCCTCTGCGTCTGTCTGTCTGTCTGTCTGTCTGTCTGTCTGTCTGTCTGTCCACTCTCATCTCCTTTCCTTTCTCCTTGAGCCTAAATCCTTCCTTCTACTTACTCTCTCTCTCTCCCTATCTCTCCCTCTCTCCCTTTCTCTTCCTCTCTCTCTGCCTACACATTCCAACTACTTCTCCTCCCTCACTATTGGCCATTCAACTCTTTATTAGACCAACCAGGTACCTAAGGGAGGCAAACCAAAACAGCAATGTAATTAGACAAATACAACACGTCTTTGAATAGTTAAACAAATACTGTGCAACAAGCTGGCAAGATTGCTCAGCAGGTAAATGCACAGGTCATCAAGCCTGATGACCTGAGTTTGACCCCTGGGACCTACTCACATGATAAAGGATGGAAGCTTCTGCTGCCAACTATTCTCTGACCTCAACACAGGCACAGGGGCACACACACCACCACCACCAATAATAATGTGTTTTTAAATTGGTGCTTAAACAGAGATGGGAAATACAATACGTTGCAGAAGTCTGAAAGAGTAGCTTTTCCCAAAGGCTGTCTGCCCTCTTCACTCGTGAGTTCTAAAGGCTGCATAGGGTTGCAGTTGTCTAGGTGAGGCCGGTGATGGGCTGGAGCACGTGTCAGTGACACACAATGTGTCTAGAGGAGGTAACTACTGATCAGCTCCAAGGGTTACAAAGGGCAATGTATGCCTCTAGGATCTGGTTTCAGGGCCTCACTGCAGTTTTCCAAGTACAGGCTGTGTGGCTGTTTAACTCCTCAGAGCCACTGAGGCATAGAGTGGGTGGACAGGGCCTGCCAGACATACGCCTCCAGGGCCTCTGCTGGGCCTAGCCCCTCACGACAGACTGCTTCCTCACTCCTTGAGGGCATAGGTAGGTATCCGCCTTTGTTTCTTGTTTGTTTCATTGCATCCTAAATATGAAATATTTCCCAGTCTTCACATACTCAGTTTCATTTTAATTAATTCATTTTATTGCTTCCATATACCAGCAATACTTCAGACCTCTCTATATAATTCCCGAGCATGCCTGAACTAATGAAAATGCTGACCTCATCACTGGGATTCTGCTGTTTCAGATTCGGTGTGAAGAAGAAGCCAATTTATATTAATGTCATCAGGGACCCTATCGAGAGGCTGGTTTCCTACTATTACTTTCTGAGGTTTGGAGATGATTACAGACCAGGGTTAAGGAGACGGAAACAAGGAGACAAAAAGGTAGTGTGCTTGCTGTTGGTCATAAATGTACTCCGTGTCCAGGGTTGACATTTTGCAAGGAGCTCGGGGCTGTAGAGAAACAATGGTGAAGAATGGCTTGGCTGCTGTCCCGTAAGATAATTCTGTGGCTGAACTGTTGGAGGCGTGCATATTGTTTCATTACAGCCCTGCTGTGTTAGTTACTGCTCTTGCTGCTGAGTCAAAATGCGTGCTTTATTTCAGTTCACGGTTTGAAGCTATCCATGGGGGGGGGGGGGGCGGGTAGGCATGATGGCAGGAGGGAGAGGCAGCTGTGTTCAGCATGCACGCGTGCGCACACACACGTGCACACACACACACGTTCAGTTATGCTTCTCTGGAAACGCCTTCCCCAAACAAAGCCAAAACTTTGTCTCCAAGGTGATTCTAAATTGACTTGACAATCAGTATTAACCATTACACTAACAATTTTCTAGAGGATCATTATTAATGAATATGATTTTGTATATATTTTTGTTCTTAGCCCTAATGATGATGTCTTAGTTAGGGTTTCTATTGCAGTGAAGAGACACCATGACCACAGCAACTCTTATAAAGAAAACATTTAATTGGAGTGGCAGCTTGCAGTTTCAGAGGTTCAGTCCATTATCATCATGACGGGGAACATGGCGGTGCGCAGGCAGACATGATGCTGGAACATCTTGCAGGCAATAGGAAGTTGACTGAAACACTAGGCGGTATCCTGAGCATAGGAAACCTCAAAACCCACCCCATAGTGACACTTCCTCCAATAAGGCCACACCTCCTAATAGTGCCACCCCCTCCGAGATCATGGGGTCCATTTACGTTCATATGACCACAGATGGCAATCTGCATCTACTTGTAATCACCCTTTTATGAAAACTGTTTTGCTAAAGCAGCTTTGAGCAAGGAGACAGTAATGGCTAGAGCAAGTATGTTGTAGTACTTCTACTGAGGAATTGTCATCAGAGCCAAGTTCTCAGAACCACTCTGAACTGTTGTTGCTTTTCAGCGGAACACCTTTGTAGGCTGAAACGTTCCCCAAGGTCAGGCCAGAGAGGTGACCTACCAGTGATGCCGCTTGCTGCCATGCCTCACAACCTGAGTTCAGTTTCTGGGGCCCACAGAACTGGCCTCTCACTGTGATGTGTGTACACACGAGACACACACACACACACATGCACACACACACACACACACACACACACACACACACACGCACGCACACCCCTCATACCCCACAAACAATCTAATATGATCTTATACCTACGTCTCTGTAGCTTAGTTACCGCATGTGCCCAGCCCAGTGTTTCAGCCACACGAAATAAAAATGCACTTAGAACTCTTTATTGCGTCACACTTTTTGTGTAGATGTTACCCTCATATTTTGAGTACTTTTTCTTCTCTTTAAAGCCCTTTGCTTACATTTAATATCAAACTTTATCATTACCTCCGCCATGGATTTGTCTCTGATGCTCCCAGGCTGAGATAGTCACATTCTTTTCAAAGTTCCCAGGGCTGGAGAGATGACTCCATGGCTAAGAACACTTATGGGGGCCCCCTTGGGTTCCTAGAAACTATGCTGTGCAGCTCAAAGCTGTCTGTAACTTCCACTCCAGGGGGACCTGATGCCTTCTTGTGGCCTCGGCAAACGAGTAGAGTGTGTCATCATTTTACATTTCAGAAAATCTTTCAATAGCTAATGTAGTAAAGAGCCTGATTTTCATTTTTTAACTCAGTCAGGCAATCAGTTGCACTTATTTTGTTAAAGTCTATAAAGAAAATCCAGCTTTATGCAAATACGTAATTGGAAAAGAGAATTTTAATAGCCTTTCCCCAAAATTGAGGCTGTTTTTAAGACGACACTGAATTTGACAAGTGGAAGGCCCAAGTGTAGAATGTGAAGCCACAGTGAACGTTTTGCAGATTAACATCCATTGATACGTTTGCTCTTGTTTGTGGAAATCAGGGAGTTTTCAGACATCTGAATTGTTTCAGACAGTGTTACACTGGGCGTCCAAGGGTTAGTACAGTTTGATTATACAGTATCAAAAATTCATAGTCATTAACCCAACTACAGACGTTATCAGCAAGAGCTTGTAGGTGCTGGAAAACTGTAGGCTTATGATGTCAAATACACATTTCCAAAATGTTATTTCTCACTTGGAAGCTTAACTTTTACCACCAGCTGCTGTAGACTCCTCTATAGCCATACTGTGACTGTCAGGGGACGGTCATTTATCCTGTGCACTTCCTAGATTGAAGGCTGTTTAAAAGGATTGTGGCCTCTACCTAGTAGCATCTTCCACACCTCAGATAAAGAGCTCAACCTGTCCCCTAGCATGGCTGATGCCACCTGAGACCGGAGCAGCTAGCTTGTAGGCCAGGACCACACATTGACTGGCACTCACTTATTTCCTTTAATGTGACACACTGGACTTGTTTTAAGAAAATGTCACCAAGCACAGGAATGCAGCCTTGGCAGACAAAGGAGCTGTCACTGCTGAGTAGAGCCAGTCCTTTGGCCACCATGGGCCACCTCCCCACATTGAGAAAAGGGAAGGGAAAGCAAGCCCTTTTCTTTTAAGCAAGTGACCCAGAAATTGCCCACATTTGTTCTGTCTTCAGTCCACTAGCAAGCCTGTGACTGTGTGGGCCACACTGTCCCCTGCAAGAAGGACTAACAGTCTTCCCTGTGGGACATTTGGTTGGGGAGGTAACTGGGGTCTATCTGAGTCAGGTAGCTGCAGAATTAAAACTACTGCCTAAAAACAGATCTTCTAAATTTTCTTTGCCTGAAAGACTAAAATACATGAAGAACACAGGAACCAGTAGTTTGCTAATTAAAGAACTGAGTTAAAAAAGCCATCCGGTATGATTATTCAGTTTTAATTCAAATAGTATGTATGAAATCCCCAGAGTTGCCTGCATATAGTCCACATTGTCTACATAGTAAATTTATGGAAACTGTTAATATTGCATCTCCTAAGATGCTACTTCCTTATATGTAAGCCAACCTCTTTAATGTCTTTGAATTCACACACACAACCGTGTGCACACATTGGATAGTAGTGGAGATGCTGAGTTGATTTAGTAAGTTGCTTGTCTTCTGGCTTACACTCTAGATTGGCAGAGGCATGAAGAAGCAGAATCCTCCTACTGAGCTATATGGAGCATGCCATGAGCTAGGGCCTGTTAGAAGTGGGCACAGAAGCGGACACTTTCTGACCTGTTGTACTTAGTTCCTTGAGCCATAGTCTTCATGAAAATTGGGATGTAATAGAGATAAGTGGAAACACAATGTGTGCTTGCTAGTTTCCCTGACAACCCCACCCCCCAATCACTTTTCAAAAGTAGGCTTCAGGCAGGAAATCTAAATTAGACTGTCTTAGTTTCTTGTCCTGTTGCTGTGACGAAATACCCTGATGAAAGCGACTTAAGGGGGAAAGGATTGCCTCGACTCACAGTTCCAGACTAGAAACCCTCATTTCAGGGGAGTCGAAGCAGCAGGGACCAGAAGTAGCACTCACAGTGTGTCTTTAGTCACCTGCAGAGGACAATTAACTAATGCAAGCATACTTGCTTTCAGCTCACTTTCTCTATTTTCAGTAAATAATATTTCCCCTTTCCCTTTCTTCTCTCCAGACCCTCCATGTTCCTGCCCCCTTCCTTTCTGTATTATCAGGGGTTTTCTTACCTCAGTCCTGCAGCAGAGAGACTCTTCCATAAGAATAGCCACAGGCCAACCTAATTTAAACATGACTTTAATCCCAACACTTGATAGGCAGAAGCAGGAAGATCTCTGTGAGTTCAAGGCATCCTGATCTACATAGTGAGAGCCTGTCTAAAACAACAAAAACCACCTCACCCCCTGTCTTAGGGTTTCTATTGCCGTGAAGAGATACCATGACCATGGAAACTCATAAAGAAAAGCACTTAATTGGGGCTGGCTTACAGTTCAGAGGTTTAGTCCATTGTTGTCATGATGGGAAGCGTGGAGGCGTGCAGGCAGACACGGTGCTGGAGAAGGAGCTGAGAGTTCTATATTCCGATCAGCAGGCAACAGGAAGGTAACTGGCTTGCGCTTCTGAGACCTCGAAGATCAGCTCCACAGTGCTACACTTCCTCCAACAAGGGCACACCTACTCCAACACAGCCATGCATTCTAATACTGCCTCCCTGTAAACATTCAAGCACATGAGTCTATGGGGGTCATTCCTATTCAAGCCGCCACATTCCACTTCTTGGCCCCCTTAGGCTTGTAGCCATGACATAATGCAAAATGCATTTACTCCACCTTCAAAACTCTCCTAAGTCTACAACAGTCTCAAACTAAATAAGTTCAAAGTCGCTTCTGAGACTCATGCGATCTCTTTAACTACAATCCCCTATAAAATCAAAATAAAAAACAGATCACATATTTCCAACATATAATGACACAGGATATACATTAACATTCCATAGTGGAGGAAAGGAAGATAGTGAGGACCAAATCCTGGACCAGAGCAAGGCTGAAATCAGGTGGGGAAACTCCAGACTGCATCTCTGTGTCTGATGTCAAATTGCTCTTCAGATCTCCAACTCCTTTTACCTTTGTTGACTGCAGCACACTTCTTTATCTTGGGCTGGTTAGCATCTCTCCTCGGCAGGTAACCCACGGCTCTGGCATCGCCAACATCTTGGGATCTCCAAGGCATTCTAGGCTTCACCTTCACAGCTTCACACAATAGCCTTTGTAGGCCTCTATGCAGAGACACCCCTGACACATGCCTAGCCTAGCCTTAGTGGCTTTATTTAGTCGTGGAGGGAGATCCCATAACCCCTTTCTTCTACCCTTGACTCTAAAGCCAGGGCCATATGACTGAAGCTGCCAAATTCTGATACTTGCTGGGGCTGGACCATGGCTCCCTTTTTCAATTACATCTTCATTAGCCTTCTGTTTTCATTACCTTTCTGTTTTCAGTGGTTTCTTTCATTGCCTAAACTTGGTTGTCCTGGAATTCTCTCTGTAGACCAGGCTGACCAGGCTGGCCTTGAACTGAGAGAACCACAAGCCTCTACCTTCTAAGTGCTGGGATTAAAGGTGTGTGCCACCATTCCTGGCTCTAAGCTTTTCATGAGTTGGAAATTTAGCTGGTGGGATCTTGCCCTTAGGTCACCACCCCCTTAGTCCATCCATTTCTTAATCTTTCCTTGAACACAGGACTTAGCTCCATCCCACTCCTGATACCCCCTTTCTCCTCAGACTGTACATTTTGTATTTTCCTTGCTCCTTTTCATTATCGATCTGCATAAAAGTGAACCCTAATAACCACACAATACCAGGCTGTTTTAAGAGTTCCTCTGTCAATGCAATTAAAAAAAAAAAAAAAAAAAAAAAAAAACAACTCTTCAATGTAGTCTCAGGCAAACTGTTTTGGGGGAAAAGGCAAAAAGCCACATTATTCACCAAAATATCATAATCTCTAGGCCATACATTAATGTTCTTCTCCTCTGAAACCTCTTGTCCCAGCCCCCAACCATTCAAGGCACTCTTGGCATCACAGCTCCTACTAGGATGGCCCACTAAGTAGTACTTAATCAAACTTCTTCATCCAAAGTCAACAAAAGCATGGTCAGACCTGTCCCAGCAATACCCCAGCCCCTGGTACCAGCTTCTGTTTTAGTTAGCGTTCCAAAAGCATGGTCAGACCTGTCCCAGCAATACCCCAGCCCCTGGTACCAGCTTCTGTCTTAGTTAGCGTTTCTACTGCCATGAAGGGACACCATGATCAGGGCAACTCGTATAAAGAAAAACATTTAGTTGAGGCTGGCTTACAATTTCAGAGGTTTAGTCTCTTATCATCCACACCCTCACATAGTCCATCTAGGGAAATGCCTGAGTAATGGAGTGGTCAAGGCCAAAGTTTTCTACTTACACAAATCACACACGCGTAGAGAAAATTCAGGGAAGAGCCGAAATGAGTGTCCTTGTCTCTGTGTTCACCAGTGTTTTCTCTTTCGTCCTTCTGACATCCGGTCACAGTCTTCCAAACAGCACTGTACACACAGTAACTCTACCATGCAGTGTGTTCTGAAATGCATTTTCTCATGGCATGGCCTTTTCAAGTCCTCGCCACAGTTGAGCAGGAATGTGATATAAAAACTACATGAAGCGGGAATGGAGGTGGCTCAGTGGTTAAGAGCATTGATTGCTCTTCTTGAGGTTCTGAGTTCTGTTCCCAGCACCCACACAGCAGTTCACAGCTGTCTGTAACTCCAGTTCCAATGGATCTGACATCATCACACACACATATATGCAGGAAAAACATGGATACACATAAAATAAATAAATATTTAAAAAAAAAACTACATGAAGCTTGTTGTGGAGCTGAAGATGACACATTCAGATGAGTATGCCCCCTTCCTGAGAGCTGTTTATTAACAAGGCAGTGTATAGAACTCAAAAGAGAGGAAGTGACTTTCAGCCAGAGGAGTAACTGGAAGGCGGGACCTCAATTTGCGAAGGAAGAACATTCTAGTAAAGTTACGGAGGTTTGGGGTACCGGGATATAGTTAAGAACGTGCGGAACTGACTAATGTGGTGTGGGTGGGTGCTCCGAGTCAAAGGCAAGCAGGAAGCACTCCCGAAAGGTGGGATAGCGGGTGGGGCCTTGGTGTTTCTCACCTGACGTCAGAAATGACAGCTGCCACAGGATGTGTGGATGGTTGTGAGCCGCCATGGGAGTGGTGGGAACTGAACGGGTCCTCTGCAGGAACAAGTGCTCTTGACCACTGATTCATTAAAAGTTTTTGACCTGGAAAGGTGAGTCCGTGGGTAAAGCTCTTGCCATGCTGTGTGATGACCTGAGTCCATCTCCCTGGACCACACGTGAAGGTTGGTGCAGTGGTCATGGCTGTGCTCGCAGTGTCCTGTGATGAGATAGGAGCTGCAGACAGCATTCCCGAAGTCTTGTGTGCCGGGGTGCCTGACAGTCTCGGAGATGAGCAAGAGACCCTGTCTCTCTCCAACAGGACATAAGGCAAGGACTGACACCCAGGGATGTTCTGAGCTTCACACAGACAACATGGCATGTGCATACCTACACTCACAGACATGCAGAGATTAAAAAGTCTGTCTTTAAAAAAAAAAATAAATTAGAAACAGTCTTATTTTACACACCAATCCCAGTTCCCTCTCCCTCCCATCCTCCCATGTCCCCCACCGACCTCCCCACCCCATCCCCTTTCTGCTCCTCAGGGAGGGTGAGGCCTTCCCTGGGGCGTCTTCAAAGTCTGTCACATCATTTGGGACAGGGCCTAGACCCTCCCCCATGTGTCTAGACTGAGGGAGCACCCCTCTGTGTGGAACGGGCTCCCAAAGTCCATTCGTACACTAGGGACAAATACTGATCCACAATCAGAGGCCGCATAGACTGCCCGGGCCTCCTAACTGACACCCCATTCAGGGGGTCTGGGTCGGTCCTGTGCTGACAGTGCTCCTTTTCCCTTTGTTGCAGACCTTCGATGAATGTGTGGCCGAGGGCGGCTCAGACTGCGCTCCTGAAAAACTCTGGCTTCAGATCCCATTCTTCTGTGGCCACAGCTCAGAATGCTGGTAGGATGCAAACTTCCATATGTCTGCAATCCACATCTCACGGGCAGGAGTGTGGTAGTCAGGACTAGGTAGAGAATTATGAGAGACTGTACTATACATGCATCTAGACTTGTTTTTCCTTTAAGATCCACTGTGTTCATATCCTCACAGAGAGCTTTATCAAATGCAATTACTGTTTTGGCTTTGGAGTTCTTTTTTGCTGTATTCCAGCACCTTAGCAGTCAAAGATCATTCCATAAACCGTACTTAATCCTAAGCTTTCTGCTTCAAATAGATCAAATAAAGCTTGGGTAATAGGCAAAGTACTCTCACGGTTTATTGTTAAATTTATTTTAAGAGTGTCCAGAAGTATCCTTACAGAGTTGTAATTTAGTCTGCTAGTAAACATGAATTTAAAAGAGATTTTACTTCTAATAATAAAATTCTCAAGAACATTCAGTGTTCAAATTGTTAAAATAATTTTGCATATTTATTTATTCTGCTCGAGCATTTATTTTAAGGCATTAAGGATCTGATTTGGGTCTTTGCAAGTGCTTGGCAAGACTGGCCAGCCTTGGGTTCTCCAGTGTAGGGAATACAGACACATGCTGCCATATCTGGTTATTCAATCGTTTTAATAAAAAAATGCAGAAGCAGAAAATCCATTCAAAATTAGTATTTTTCTCAAACTATGCTGTGAAATCCAAGGGCTTTCTTGGTCATTTGAGTCATGTATGTTGTTGACAAGGTCCAGGGCCTGCTTGTACACTGCTGCAAAGTGTCGTGTAGAAAAGCAGTTGCGAGCATTGGAAAATGCCCTTTCAGTTTTTAGCCATTTCATCTGAAAAGGAACCCAATCCTGTGGGCCAAATATGGCCGAGCACTTGTTCTTTGTAAATAAAGCTTTATTAGAACACAGCCACTATTGTTGGTGTCTTTACTGTCTGCTGAGATAGCAGAGTGGAATAATAGTGATTTAAACATATAGTCTACAAAGCCTAAAATATTTACTCTTTGCCTCTTACAGGAAAAGTTTGTCAGGCCCTGCTTTTGAACAGTAGAAAGTATTGATTAGTTGAGTTTTAATTAGGGAGGATAATTCATGTATTTCACACACAATGAAATGTATTGGGGAGACCTTAGAAATCAACTAACCCCCTTCCTCCTCCCCTCCAAGGGTTTTTAGAGACAGGATCTCTTGTAGCCCAGACTGGCCTTGAACTCCTGGCCTTCCTCTCCATCTCCCAAGTGCCAGGATAATAGGTGTGTACTGTCACACCCAGTTTCTTGGTCTGTGGTTTCGCCTTTCCGCTAATAGTTGAGAAGACTAAAAAGAAGTGAAGCCACCACCACGGGCTCACATTGGCAGAGCTAGAGTGAAGCAGAAAGAATGTTAGTGTAATTAGATCCCAGAAGTGTAGTCTGTTTAAGATGAAACCTGTTAACGTGTTAGCTGACATTGTAAACAAAAAGATTTTTAGTACAGCTATTTCTTATCTCATTTCTGTTTCTCCAGATTTCAGGAAACACTAAAGCTTATGGAAAGAAAAAGAAACAGAGTTTGCAGAGTAAGATAAACACTAAACAAAAATTGTTTCAACTTTATCATAGCGGCTCCCAGAATGAGCAAGGTTTTAGAGTAGTTTTAAAACATGGATGCACACTAAGTCAAAAAAGAGACTATATGATACAGATGTGTGTATTTAAAGCTGTCCTTAGAGTCTGTTCCCATAGAGAACCCTCTAGTAGAGTCTAAGTGAGTACATGGTCGTGGAAGCTAGATGTGAAGTAGAGAAAGTTGGAAGTAGAACACCTCACTAAGATGCCTCTGCAACAGGTGTTGAAGCTGTGGCAGTTCGTTCACTTACATGTTTCCTCCATAACACAGAGATCAGAAGCATGCGCATACTTAGCCCATTTCACAGCCGGGTGTTTAATTCCTTCTCTGTGGTTTCAGGAATGTGGGAAGCAGATGGGCTATGGATCAAGCTAAGTATAACCTAATTAACGAGTACTTCTTGGTGGGAGTTACTGAAGAGCTGGAAGACTTCATTATGTTACTGGAGGCAGCTTTGCCCCGGTTTTTCCGGGGTGCTACGGACCTCTACCGTACAGGTATGTACATGATAGGTTTCGTTCTAAAGCGTCCCCAGCCTCTATAATAAACTAGACTACAGTTCTAGAGTAGGTCTAATGGGAGTACTAAACACATGAATAGCCATCATGTGCTGTGTCTACTGTAGTTTATCCAAACGTATACTTCCAGACCTTTGTGAGTCGGTCTAATGCTGGTAGTGTTTTCTTTTAGTTGTTTAAAATCATGCCATCACTCAAACTCTTCCAAAGTTTACATCTGCCCTCAATTCTCCATAATTGTTGCAAATCTAGTAAAGAGGCATTGTGTGTGTTCTGCGAGAATTACTTACTTTTCTTATTTTTCCATTGTAAGTAGGAAAGAAATCCCACCTTAGGAAAACCACGGAGAAGAAACTGCCCACCAAGCAAACCATCGCGAAGCTACAGCAGTCTGACATTTGGAAAATGGAAAATGAGTTCTACGAGTTTGCACTGGAGCAGTTTCAGTTCATCAGGGCCCACGCCGTCCGTGAGAAAGATGGAGACCTCTACATCCTCACACAGAACTTTTTCTATGAAAAGATTTACCCCAAGTCGAACTGAGTACAAGTGTGACCACGGCGGTCCGGCGGTCCTGCGGTCCTGAACCTGCGCTTGGCGGTGTCGTCCTCTGTCGGCTTCCCCACCTGCTTTGCTGATAGCTAGCGCGTCTGAGCCCGTTCTCCTCGGGCTGCGTTCGGGAGCAGACATGAATGTCAAGAAGCTAGATGCTGAATGGGATGGCAGTGTTGTACGGAGTTTTTAAGTTTAGTGAATTGTTATTTTTTGTTATTTTGTTTTCACTTTTGTGATAGTTATAATCTCCTTCCTGTGAGGTGGGGGGGGGGGGTCTCATGTCACCTAAAATACACACGTGCAGGTTTAATGAGTACACTGAATACCACTTCGGAAGCGGTTCTGGATTCTCTTGCTTTGGCTAGAGCATCTTCTCAAGTCTCTTTGGATGCAGACAAGCCTGTTTGGCACTTCTTCTGGAGGTTTGTGCTGCACACCCCTCCTGGATAGTACTGATAAGTCTTTGCCAGTATCTGATTTGTTTATGTGATCATGTCTCACAGAGTTTATCGGAAAGTTTGATCATGTTTTCTCAGAACTATTTCTGCTATAGTTGGGTTTGCCTGTATTTATGTAGGCTTTATTTTATTTTAGATGATCATTAGTATTAAAGAAATGAATTGAAAACCATGAATATCATTGTAAAAAGACAGAACAGTTAAAGCAGTATTCCTGATTCCTGTCTCCCCAGTATCTAATACTAGGGTGGCATTTCTAAGAATGTTGACAACACTATCTGAGGCTTTCTTAAGGATTTCCACACATATATATAGATATATATAAAATGAGTTTAGTATTTGTTTCTCCATGGCTTCTCTGTAACCCAGTACACTGAGGTATTGGTAATGGCATATGGTGACTCCATCAGTGAGCTGTGATATGGGTAGGATTTTCCTACTCCTGTACTTTTACCTGTAGACTATTTTTCCTACGGTGCTTTATAATGTGTTTTAAAGCATTGCATTTACAAAAGAAAAAAAGAAAATGCTGTAAATATTGCATATTTTATGTATTTGGACCAAAAAGTTACAAGTAAGTAGACAAAAGTGGTTTTGCACCAATTTTATTATGTCCAGTAAAGTCATCAGACCTACTATTCTTGTATTTCCCATTTAACTTTACTGTGATAATGTCACTGAAGTGAACTAACGTCACATTTCAGTTCTGGTCGAGAGCATTACTCAGCCGGAGGCAAGAGTACTCAACAGTCTTAAGCATTTGATTTCTGGTTCCAGCTCTCCATCTTCCAGCTGTGTGGCGTTAGGCAGGTCACTTAATCTCTCTGTGCTCCGGTTTCCTCACCCTGGGATGAGGATACTAATGCCTGCTGTGCCTACCTCACAGGGCTGGGTGAGGACTAGGATGGCATGGTGGAACTTTGGAACTGTCAAGTGCTGTTTAAATGGAAGTATCTCTAACATAGTTTCATACTGCCCATTCTTTTAACAACGGGAAGGGAAAATCTACCTTTGAGCTTTATGAGAGGGGAAGAAACCCTTTATCTTGATATAAATTTGTGTTTGATAAATATCCTCTTGGTGTTCATCTTCCGTGTTTCAGCAACTATTGAAATGTGAAACACCTGTGAACTCTAGTAACTTGGGATCTTCATTAGCTGATGAGAAGCAGAAAAACCTTTTGGGAACTTGAAAGATGTTCCCATGTTCATATGACCCTGTCACTCAAAAATGGTGGCTATTTTACACCTGAGGATTTTAAAGTGTGTTTTGTAGAGTTTAATTTGCCTCTTAATTCTTTACCTCCTCCCTCCTCAGAGTCAGAAATCAGATCCCTCTCAGACAGACTTTTCTACAGGAGTAATTGTTTATATGTTTAGTTTAAATATTTCTGAACAAGACCTCATCAAAACAAAGCATTTTTGACAGACAGCCTCAGAGTTATTTATTGTGTAATAAGAGGGTCAAAGAGCACTGCATATCAGAAAGCACTTAGAAAGACTAAAGGAATGATAGCATCACCTGCCCCACCGATAAGAAAATAGTAAGAGAGCATACATAGCATTTCCTCTTTCCTCCCTACCCCGCTTTGCAGTGAAAGTTTCCACTATCTGCTGAAAACAAGTTTTTCTTGTCGTTTTTGCCCAAAGCTAAAGAGCCACTCCTAGGCAGGCAGGCAGGCACGCTTTTGGCTGTTGAGTAAATCTGGGGTTATTCTTGGGACTTGGAGCAGAAATTTCTCAGATAATTAGGATAGCACTTAAGTACACTAGCTGGGACATTCCATAGACTGTTCTCATAAAAGGCTGGAGTAAATATGTCAGGTCTCCGTCGCAGCCACTCAACTCTCTCTGTTGCAAAGAAGCTTCGCAGACAGTACAGAGACAGATGACCACGGTTATAGCCAGTTAAACCTTAATTAACAAAACAGACAACATGCTAGGTATGGACCATGAACTGCAAGCCTGTGTGCTATGAGGCATCATCATGGAGAAGCCATGTCTGTCTGAACCAAGTTCCTCAATGAGTTTCTCTCCGACCCAAGGCTCCCTGATTACAACCCAAAAACTGCTTTCTGACTCGTCTCTCCCCAGAACCCTTCCATTTTATGTACATCACTTCCATGTTGTCCTGATTTACCAGTTCAAAATTGACACATTTCTTACTTCTTATTGGAATGGATGGGTTCAAAGTGTCCTTTCTAAGAACTGCTAAAAGCTAGATTTGTTTCTATTTGATTCAGTGTAGTCCCAGGAGTCTGAGTCCTTAGACTTTATAATCTAATAAATAGAACCACTGAGACAATGTGTATTTTTTAAACGTGGCAAATGTGCTTTTCCTTTTTGTTAGCCTTTGTTTTCAGTAAATTGACCATAGGGGGGTTGTTTTTATATGATAGTAAAACAAATTAACAACTTTGAATTTTGAAGATCATGTATATGTGTATTGTGTATCTATATATCAATGTTTATTTCCTACAAGACAAGAGGTAGCTTTGTGTTCGACTTGTACCAACTGTTTTCTTACTGCTGTGAAATGGCAACTGTTGATAAATCATTGTGTTTTAAAATGTGGTGGGGAGGATATATTTTGATTTTCACCCAGCTTTAATCTGTTAAGTGTCACTTAAATATATCTGACAGCATCACTTGAGGTACTGCACAGGAGCTGCTTCTGTGTCCCCCAATACAGCTGTGTAGTCTTCACCGTCCTGCTGCTTCTGGTCTTCTGATGATTGGTTCAGATTACCAAAACCCACAGAACAAAGTGTCAGACTTTTTAAAACACTTAGCTTTACTTTCTATTCTGGAAAATGCAGCTAATGCCTATGATTTGAACTCTGTTGGTCTTCCTCATTGTAGGTCCTGTTGGAAAGTCCTAAAATTGTTAGCTCTGTCAGGGAATTTACCAGAGTATTTTGATGTTGTATTTGCATAGTTAGATACGGAATAGTTTGTAGATGATGATTCTCTCTCTCTCTTTTTTAAATAAAATGAAATTTTCTAAAAATCTAAAAGCACCAGAGAGCGTAACTAAAGCCCAGTTCCCTGAGATGTAGCTAGTGTAGATGTTGTGCTTGAAGGCCATCTGTATAAGTTATCTTGACGGACAGCTTTCCCAGCCACCATTTTCAGACATAACTGTGGGCCCAGGAGCCCCTATTGTAGGAATGTCTGGTACCTAAGCCTTCTGTGAAACTTGTCTTTACGAGGTTCAGATGCCATTGTGTTAGTGCGGTTGCTGTTCAGTCTTTGTACCCTTGTACTCTAGGCAGAGTTGCTGTGTGTGGCGAGGCAAACTGCTCAGCGGGCAGTGTCCTGAGAGGAAAGCCACCAGTTGCCAACTTCCGGTCCTCAGGAGTGCAGCTCCCTTCCTGATTCCCTGAGGCAGGAATTTGAGGAATTGGGTGATCGTTTGGGCAGATTCATCGTGTACTTAAGGTTATGTAGCTTGGTGACCTTTGCAGTGCTGTTTATGAAGTAGACCCTAATGGTTACCATCTGTTAGAAATGAATTCTAGTACTCATGTGACTCACTGCCGTAGCCTGTTTAGTGAAGTGTGTGAGCATCTCTAAATCAGTGTCCAGTGTATTTTAATGAAACAGACAAGGTCGATTTTGACTTTAGCTAGCCAGTGCTGCCCACCCCCGACTTTTGGAGAAATGTTCCTGCTTTCTCCCGCCCTCTCCTCTGTGTCTCCTTCCCTCCCTCTCTCGACTCCCCTCTCCCTGCCCTCTCTACCCACCAGCATCATTTATACTAGATCTTCCAACTTGAACCCATTTTGTCACATCTCTTGGAGAGATGATCAGCCCTTTCCCTCAGCTTTCCGCCTCCTGGAGCAAGAGCTATGAAACGGACACTGTGGGAAGGGGGAACGGGCACGGGGCTTGGCCCTGACTCAATGTTTTCCTCTGCTGCATTGATGCCGAGAGTCAGTTTCCAAGGTGAGGCGGTGTTCAGATCGCTGGTGCTGTCACCAGCAAGTCCTGCATCACGCCAGCCTGCGGCACTTCCCTAGCCTAATCTTTGACGAGTGCTGATGCTCATTGACTTCCGTTGCCTTTGCATTCATTGGTCGTCGGTGTTGACATTTCACATAGGAAATTTATGAGGCATACTGAGGTGTGAGGTTAACGAGAGGAAAAGGTACGATGGGGCAGGCTGTTAAAAGAGGGGATGGCAGTGTGTGGATCTGGTCAGCTCTTGCAACTCTGTCTCCAGGGTGAGGCGTGGCCATCACATTTTGAAAACAGCAAGAGTACCAGCATGAGAGACCAGGACAAGTTCAGGCACTTTGCGTTTTTAAGGTTTATTAGTTTTAGCAAGGCATGGTGGCACATACTTTTAATCCTAGCACTTGGGAGGTAGAGACTGATGAATCCCTATGTTCGAAGCCATCTTGGTCTACAGAGTAAGTTCCAAGACAACCAGGACTGTACAGTGAGATCCTGTCTTGAAAAAAAAAAAAATCAAAACCAAAAACTAAAATAAAGATTTATTAATTTTGTCTGGTATGTTGGTGCATGACTTTAATTTCCTTTAATTCCAGCCCTAGGGAAGCAGGCAGG